TTTTTTTTTTTTTTTAATGATTTTGAGTTTTGTTTCACATTATTCTCCAGGATCCCCTACAGAGATCCCCCTTCGGGTGGTTGACAGTGGTAGCTGTGCACCATCTAGTTCTTCTGGTCTCATAGTCGTGTAGGCTGAGGATTGCATGGTGTACCAGTCACTTTGACTAATTATTTCCATGAATCTCTCGATTTCTTCATTCTTTTTTGCTCTGGGCGAGGAGAGACCCATCGTTGCATCTAGATGGCAGCTTGCAAGCTTTTAAGAGCCCAGTTGCTACTTGCTGAAGTATGATGTGGAACAATGGTTTTGTGTAGTATGTTATGCCAATTGAGCTTATGTCCCCTGCAACCATGGTCTCGAGCCCACAGGTCCAACTACTTGCTCCCTCTGGGTAGCTGGCTATGGCCAAGAAGTGACTACAACCTTGTCTCTTGTCAGCTGTACTATATACCTGGAAATTCTTACAGAACACATAGATACACTTGTAGAAATAATGTCTTCCAACCCTGTATGGTCACGGGCATACTCCTCCCTGCATAGACATATCTAATAATTCAGCCTGTCCACCATCTATCCACCTGTAGATCAATGTTTGCCATCACTGACAATGCAGTAATGTATGTTGGCCCCTTACTCTTAATAGGCAAGGCCTTTATTATTTTTATTAATACATTTTATTGAAATATAATTTATGTACAGTGAAATACACAAAACTAAAATGATACGGGTCAGTGCGTTTTTTTTCCCCCAGTGCTCCCTCCCACCCCTAGTAACCAAAAAAGAAACTTTCCTTCCATATATAAACTTTTCCATAGGCCTTTCTTTATGCATCATTTGGACTCTTAGTTTCTGTTCTGCCAGAATGGAGGTCTCGCACTAATGAGGGAATATTGCTTTCCTAGAACAAATCATACAGATTGATTTAATTGAACTAACTATGAAATCAAACTAAATTTCCATTTCTTTGAGAGCTTTTTCTTATGTGATCTTTCTTTCTGTTTTTGTTTTTTAAGTCAAGAAAGATGTTCCTCCTTCAGCTGTCACAAGACCAATATTTGGTATATTGGGCACAATCCATCTGGTGGCAGGTAAGACAAAATAAGGTAAGATGGGCAAAGAAGGTAATGAGATTGACAGTATTAGAGTACAAGATGGAGGCATGCTTCGTATCATGCTTCAGTCAGTCAATTTCTGGGTTAAGTCAGACCCTGCTAGATGCCAGAGTGTAAAGGTACAGGCCTTCTACCCTGTAGTTCAATGTCTAGTGAGAGAGGCATATAAATAATAAGTCACTATGGTACCCGACTCGATGGCAAATAACAACAACAACATGGTACAGTGTACAAGTTCTGGAAGAGAAGTACACAGGAAAGCTTCTGGGCAGGGTGCTTGTGTATGGAGTATTGATCAGAGCTCAAGAACTGAGTTAATTGAAGTGGGTCACCCTGTTTTATTTCCAGGGGCAAGGAAGTGGCTAGGATCAGGGTTGGCCGATTATGTGATGTGCTATGGTACTGTGGTGGCTCCTTCATTCCTAGCTACTCATCCTTGTAATACTGCAGTGACCACTTACATATACTGCCCCAGCACATTTCTCTAACATTTAGAATGACCAGAAGGACATAGGAATGGTGTAGATGGGGCAGTGATCCGATCTTCAGACCTCTGATGCTTTAGTGTGTATACTAATTGGCTGCTATCGAATTGATTCAACTCATAGCAACCCCTCCTTGGGTTTCCAAGGCGGTATTACTACGGAAGTAGATTGCCCAGTCTTCCTTCCAAGGAGTGACTGGTGGGTTTGAACCACCAGCCTTCTGGTTAGTAGCAGATGCCTTAGGCACTATGCCACCAGAGCTCCTAATGTACATACTGGTACATTATTCTACAGTGAGTTGAGTACGTCTTGGGGCCAGAGAAAGTAAGTATGTTCTGTCTCTACTTTTCATTTGCTAAGGTGACTACTTTGGTTATCAGCAGCTTTTGCTTCTATTTTTTTTGTGGAAAACTTTGATCTTTCAATAAGAGTTTTTCTAAATAATGTTTCATCTGTCTATTCATAAATATAAGATTATCAGAATGAAAAAGCATGGCCCTTTGTCCGTGCAGCACAGTGCAGCCTCATTCGATTAATAGCCTTTGAAGTTTAAATAGTAAGGATTGCTACTTATGCCATGAGAGTTGTCTTTTTTATATTTATGTGTATTGGACTCTCCTTTTTGCAGGTAACTATCTTATTGTCATTACCAAAAAGACAAAAATAGGTGAATTTTTCAATCATGTAATCTGGAAAGCAACAGATTTTGATATCCTTTCTTATAAGAAGACAATGTTGCATTTAACTGATATTCAGGTAAGAACTGGAAGCTATTGCTAATTGCAGAACCCAAAGCGGTACCTTGTAGGGAGAGCAAATGCAAAGAAAGCTGGATGATTTTCTTTTAAGCCAAAATAGTAAAGTAACCCATAAAGCTGGGTTGGGAAATAGGTAGCTATTGTCTGGCGAGCAAATAGGGCTGGTTTTAAAAGGCAGCTGTGCTAAGCTACTTCTGGGTAATTTTAACCTCTTAGTCACCTTTATCATAGTAACAGCACACTTTAAGCTTTTACTTTTGGTTTCTAGCCATAAAATATATTTCTAAAAATATCACTCATGTATTTTATTACTCGTGGTGTGTGTGTGTTTTTTTTTTTTTTTTTTTTTTAATTGTGATTTGGGTGAAAGTGTACAGAGCAAATTCATTTTCCATACAGCAGCTCATACACGTTTTGTTTCATGACATTGACTGAAATTCCCCACATTGTAACAATTCTCTTCCCACTTCCTCCCTGTAGTTACCTCTTCCCTGTGTCCTTCCCTATGCATTCCTGCCCCCTGAGCTGTCTCCCTAAGTGAATACTGTCCTTCTGTTTTCCCATGATTGATCGTTCTAAGGAGTGTACCTATTTGATGTAAATGTTCACACTCTATACCTATTTGTTGTTTGGCTAGAAGCCATGGGAGTGAGTTCAGTTCCAGACCTGAAGGGTGACTAGGGTCCATAGTCTAGGAGGGGTATCACCAGGCACTGTCAGACCAGTGAACCTGGTCTCTTTTTATTAATTTGTGTTTTGTTCTACATTGTTGTCCCACTGTATGCTGTTGGTTTTTTTTTTTTTAAATCTGCCTCATTTCTTAAAATTATGAAAATTCATACAGAAAGAAAAGTACAAATAGAAATATGTATATACTAATACCCAGATTTAACTTCATATTCAACCTTTATTTTTTAAAGAAAATAGTAGATACATTTGAAATTCCACTCTTCACATTTCATTCCCTCTTTCCCCAGAGAAAAGTATTCTTCACTTTTACCACACACAGATATAAGTATGTATGTGTGTGTCCATATATGTATTCAGCTAGTATTCCTTTTGCACGCTTCCGTTAGGCATGGATTTCAGTTACCATTCAACACCACAGTTCAGATTCCAGTCACCACAGTATATTAAGCGAGAAATTAGTCCACCAGAGGTGAAAGTGCTGCAAGGGAGTGAAAAGTAATAATGCTGAAAGTGAAAGTCAAATCAAATGTAAATGGAATTATAGAAGAAACAGCTGGTTGTAGGAATGCTGACACTGTTAGACAGGCTTTAAATGTGCAGCCAGATTTCTTAGTGACAGTGAATTTACCAACATTGATGAGCAAAGTGGTAGTGACAAAAAAGATGAAGAGTACCAGAGGAAGTGATGTCAGCAAAAAACTTTACACTGAAGAAACTCTGGGGCATCTCATGACATTTCTTAAAAGTGCAAAAGATAAAATGGTGGTAGCTGATCCAAACTTAGAAAGGAGTATATTTCCCCAAGGCATAGAAAAGATGTTTGTTCTGTATTGCAAGTTATGTTATGAAAAGGAGGCAAGCACTGCTTAGATTACTCCTGATAAGCTTTTTGCAGAGAAATAAAAACACTTAGTTCTCAGTGTTGCTAATGTTTCAAGTTTCAGGGTAAGTAAATACTAGCTTTACTATTTAAAAATTTCTCTATACATGTATACCTTATAATAAGAGTATTTGATTGTTTTGACAAAAATTTTGAAAGATCAGAGGACAGTTGTAATGTTTTTGAAAGATCAGAGGACAGTTGTAATGTTTCCTATTGATTATGAAGATAGCTTGCGTGGCCTTTTTCACAGTCCTAAGCAACTGTGCCAAGTGAACACAGCCTGTATTCATATTAAAATAGTGTTTATAATTTACTGAGGTATTGTGTGGAACTTACATGAACAGCATTGCCCCATTCTGTTTTTTGAAACTTGCTTTTGTTTGAGTCAACAAATGTTTAGAAGTTATATCTATTGAGACAGTTTGTTTTCTGAATGTAATTTTATTCAGAATGTTTGCTTTAAAAAATTTTTAAGTTAAATTGTGCTTTGGGTGCAGATTTACAAAGCAAACTTGTTTTACATTCAACAGTTCACGCACATCTGATTTCTTGTCCCCATTACCAACCCCAACCATAAAAAACTCTCCCTTCCTCCCCCCACAAAAAAAGGTGGGCCAGGTTTGCTGGTCTGATGGAGCCTGATGGAACCACTGATACTGTGGCCCCTAGCTGCCCTTCAGGTCTGGAATTGAACTCACTTTTGTGGCTTCCAGCCAAATAAAAAGACAGACATATGAGCTGAACATTTACATGAGGTAGATACACTCCTTGGAGAGATCACCTCATGGGAGAAAGAAGGGTTGTGTATGCACAGGGAGATAGCTCAGGGGGCAGGAGTGCATGGAGGGGAAGGACACAGGGAAGAGGTAACTGTGGGGAGGACGTGGGAGGAGAGCTGTTGCATTGTGGTATATTGTAGTCAGTGTCATGAGACAAAGTGTATGAGCTGTTGTATGGAAAGTGAACTTGCTCTGTGAACTTTCACCCAAATCACAATAAAAAAGAAGAAAAAAACAAAACAAAACTCTCTTCCCCATGACCACCCCTTCCTTGTGCCCTTAAATTCCTTTTTGACATAAATCAATGAAAAATTAAGGATTTATAGTGATTCTCTATGAGGACCTATAGTTTAAGGAAATAAAATGGGTATATTTAATAGCCCAGGAATACTGGACAGTTTTTCTTAATTGCTATACATTGTTGTCAGGCCATATAGCTGACTTTACTGTAACTATATTCTATATAACTATATACTATAACTGCTTACTATGTGCACTTTGTATATGTGTTTGGTTTTTCAAAAATTATGTCTTGAGCTGAAATTTAAATTTCTGTTGTTGTTGTAGTTTTATGTGCCATCGAGTCACCGTGACTCATAAGAGACCCCTTCTTGGGTTTCTGAGGTGGTATCACTACAGAAGTAGATTGCCCAACCTTCCTTCTGAGGAATGGCTGGTGGGTTTGAACTGCCAGCCTTCTGGTTAGCAGTCAAGTGCCTTAGGCACTATGCTACGAGAGCTCCTTTAAGTTTCTGTAGTACATGTTAATTATGTTACTAAACATTGGTACCAAGCATTAACAATTATTTTTTAAAACAAGGATAAAAACAAATATTAATCTTGATACTCACTGGGAAAGCCAGTTAAAATGAATATTAGAAAGTGTGCAAAGATAAATACTGCTTTTACCGGACTTTCTTTTTCATCTTCGTTTTAAAGGAAAAGAATTCCATTTACTTTCTATCCAATGAAGTTTTGTTTTTTTTTTTTAAATGAGGATGATATTCTTTTGTTATTTGTTGTTACTAGACCCTCATGCATTTATGTTTTTCATTTATCAGATGAGGATAATTATGCTAGGTGCATTTGTTTGTTTATTTTTAAGCAGGGTTGTTGAGTTCATAGAGAATCTCTGTAATACATGTGGCAGATGGTGGGCCATAACTTGGGGTGATGGTATTTTGTTAAAACAACTATTTTGACCTTTAGAGTAGAAATGTGAGAGATACCAAAGGTAAGGCATCTTACCTAATGAGTTCATGTAGTAATTCCCTGTAGCAGTTCCTGAGCATCTTCCATGTGTTAGGAACTGTTCTATGTCCTGGGGAAGTGAAGGTGAGCATTCTCCCACCCCAGTCCCAGTCTTTGTGCTGGTGATACTTAATGGCCAAACTGGCAGCTTATTTTCATTCTTTTCTCACACCTTCAGCTTCCTTTTCAAGTATGTCATAAACTGATTATCCCCCTTTGTTTACAGTTACAAGATAATAAAACTTTCCTAGCAATGATAAACCATGTCTTGAATGTGGATGGGTTTTACTTTTCAACAACATATGATTTGACGCACACTTTGCAACGGCTCTCCAACACTAGTCCAGAATTCCAAGAAATGAGTCTTTTGGAAAGGGTAAGTTTGCTTTTCGGTTATTTTCATTTACTTTTTTGGGTTTTTTAAGGGGTATTATGTCTCTCTTTCATCCATAAAAAGTTATATTGGTTCTTCTTAACCCTGGCTTATCAGGACCATCGCTAGGGCTTTTGGAAGCACACTGTATTTCAAATATATCACAAATAACACGGTCCCAAATTCAGGGCACCAAAGTTTGTTTCTGTTATACAGCCAGGATTGAGAACCCTGGGTGTAGGTATTCAGAAATCCAGAGTAAACACACAGGTAGGTAATTAGATGAAAACCTTTCCTAGTTTATAATTTTCCATCAATATTACTTGGCTGTCAAGCAGTGGTTATCAGGTGTCAAATCTTCAAAACAGCCTTGGATTCATTTATAATTTCTTACCTCTAAGTGGCCTATTGTACATATAACAGTTCCATTAGCAAAATAAGTAGGCTTATAAAATTAACACCTGCATAATTTTATAACAAAATAGATGACATTTTCTCTGGAGTGGTGTTACATATAATTTTTGTGATTAGAAAAGAATTTATTGATTACAGAACTTGAAAACTATCTTTTTGTTTATGGTATGTTTATTTTTAAGATGTATCTTTAAAATCAGGCAGGCTCAGATGATCTCAGCTTAAAATTTCTGCTGTCCAGACCGACCTTGGATAATGCCTTGATTTTGTTTTTTATTAACAAACTGGGGATGTTTTTAGGGAACAAGCATAATTTAAAAGGCTGTTGTCATTTGCCTATTAGGTTGGACCACATGAAATTATTGTTGACCATTTTTAACCAACAAAAATGATAATTGCATATAGTTTAATCAGTAGTTTAACTGATAAGCTCTTTTGGGTAACATTTTATACTCCCATCTAGTAAAATTCTATGTAAGGTTAGTTGTTAAGTTTGGCTAAGGAATCAAGAAATTAACTTTTAACAACAAAAAAATTACTGCTTGTAAAAGCAGTTGCTATAGTTCATTTGTTTAGCAAATGTCTCTCAAATGCCTTCTATGTGGCGGGTACTATACTAGCCGTTGGGAACACAGAATGAAAAGATGGAGCCCCTGCCTTGTGGGAGCCTACACTCTACTGGGGAAGCAGACACCCAAGCGATCACAAAACAATGGATGATTGATGTAGCAGATACGTACCAAAGTGAGGCAGGATCCTGAAGGGAAGTGGTCTCACTCTGCCTAGGGGAATCAGGGACAGCTTTATAAAGGAAGGAACTTTTGAGCTGAGATTTGCTGATGAGTAGGGCTTGTTGGTCAGGTGACAGTGAGAGAGGAAGGGTTCCAGGCAGAGGCTATGGCAGTGGTCACCTAAACTGTAAGAGACCATCTTGAGTGGTAGGATGGGAGTGGGAAATTGTCAGCTGATCAAAATCAGTTAAAATGGGGAATCACAAAAATGATAAATGAAACATAAATATGTTAAACATTTGAACAACATTTTTTATTTAGTAATTAATTTTTTTCTTTGTAGGGCCACAGATTTTTTTTTCTTGGTTCTTTGTTTTCAGTTCTCTTTTCCTGTGTAAATTATGTGCATACTGCTTTTCAGTTTGAATCTTTTTAAAGACTATCTTACATATAAAAAAAAAAACTACGTGTAGAATCCTATAGATTTTTACTGTATTTCTATAGTCTTATAAATTTGCCACTGCCATTTCAAATTCAACAACAGTTTTTTGTTTGTTTTTAGCAACTTGCCTTTTATTGAGTTATTTCAAAGCATTCAACTTCATAGAAACAACAGTTATTTTTCAGTCATATTTCATTGGCATATAAAATATTTAATTATGTAATGATGAATAAAAACTTGACTGGCACACATCTATTGGGAGCACACGCCTGAATCTTGGGCAGTGCACCACTCAGCTGGTGATGGCCCAAGGGTAAGAGCTACTCCGTGTGACTTTCAAGTATGGCAGGGTGAGTTGGTGATTTCCTAGGGGAATGGAGAGATTTTGTTCCTCTGCTGCATTAGTTAATAGAGGCTAGTTGAGGGCACCTCCTCTGTATTTATAGTTTAAAAGTCAGTGTCGCCAGAGGTGAGTTCAGAGTTAGATAGGGCAACCAGAGCCTAAGGCTGGCTAAATTTATGCAAAGATTTGGTCTTTTAGGTGACAGAGAGCCACTGAAGACTTCAGAGCATGAAGGAGATAGGCCATGTTAGAGAACACCTTGACATCAGCCCTGTGGAGGAATGGAGTGGGAAGGCCAAGACTTGAGGCCACGGAAGCCGTTTTAGTAGTTAGGCTGGAGTCAAGTGTTGGCCAGAGTTGGTTGGAGTAGGAATATAGAAGAGGAGATGGATTTTGAATGAGATTTAGAACTTGAGGATTGACTTAACTGTAAAGAAAAGAAAGACCGTGGGAGGACCTCCAAGTGTCTGGGGCAGTGCACTCGCCTGAGGCTATAAATGAGGAAGAGGGAGAGATGACTGTGGTAGATGAGTTCTGTGTGGAGCGTGTCAGAGAGACCTAGCCACCAGGTGGAGACATTGGTTGCTGTATTTTTCTTTCTATAGAAGGTCACCTTTGCAGGAGATATTTTACTAACTTTAAAACTTCTCTCTTAGGCAGATCAGAGATTTGTGTGGAATGGTTATCTTCTAAGAGAACTTTCTGCTCAGCCAGAGGTAATGTATACTGAATAAAATCTGCTTATTTGTTACAGTCAAGTTTTAATTCAATACATATAATAAAATGACTACCTGCTCACCAGGGCTTTTGCGAAATAATTCTACTTTAACTCTATTTATGATGTACAAACTTTGATCAGGTCTACTCTCACGTCCTTCTACGTTGAGAGAGCGTAATCATTTTAATCTGATCTCATAGAAACTTTAAAATACGTTACTTTTTGTAAGTAAAAGAGACAGAATTCGTGTTAGAGGATGCGTAGTGGAGAAATGAGGAGCCAGAGTCAAGTCCCCAGGCTCAGTCCAGAGCTGTGCGTTTGTCTTCCTGTGGGGGGTGACTCCCTTCAGCACCCAGGAGAGACCTGCCTGGACCTCAGCTTCCTCTGTCCTTTGCTCACACGAATGAGCTGTAAACAAGAAGGCACAGCTGGGGGAACAGTGTATTGAATCTGGGTAGATTTGCCTAATTGCCTTACTTCTTGTCATTTGCTGTGCTTTGTTGTTATTTATTTATTTATTTATTTTGGAGGAATGAGATTGCTCCAGTCACAGCCTGAAAAGGAGGGAGGGAAGCATTCTGCAACTTCATATAGTTTTATTAGTGTCCGCATGTCTGAATAGTCAAGCTCTAATGATCGTTATGTGCTTGAAATTTTAATTAAAAAGGTGCTATGTTAGAAAAATTTCTTCTGAAAATTGAGAGTTACCCATAAGCTTACTACTTTGTTATGTTGTGTGTTACCTCCCTGTGTGTAAATGCTTTTATATATGTTTATGACTTGTTTTTAAAGTACATTTATTCCTGAATGTACTTTATATCTTCATTTCAGGTTCATCGATTTGCTCTTCCAGTGCTACATGGCTGTATCCTTGCTGCATAATACTGCACTTTAGTGTTCTAGCAGTCTTCAGTTCAGTTTTATTGTAAGGCAGATTTAGAGATATTCTCATATTTTGCATAAGAAACATTTCAGTATTAGTAGAAATTGCAGTTGATAAGATAATCAAACTCAGTGACAAAATCTTCGAATACTGGTTGTAAACCACTGTTGTCTTTTTAAAGAGTGAACTTTTCAGACTAAATTAATCTTGCTCTATTTAAGAGTTGCCAAGCTGGTGGCTTAAAGAGAAGGAATATATGCATCATATTTTGCCTTTGTTAGAGTTTTGATGCCACTTTGTATCAATAAATCAAATGATCTTGACTGTTGTAAACTTTCCTCAGGAAGTAAAAAAGCTAGATTCAGGAACTAGGGTGACCAGCAACTTGGAGAAGTGTATCACAGTTAAAAACTTTATTTGTAGTTTGAAATAGCCATAGAAAATAAAAATAATTGGAGTACAAAGAATAATACTCAGGGAAAAATCCTGGTACAGATGCAAAATGGTAAAATGAATAATGATTACCTAATTGTAAGTTCATTTGAAAAGCATTCCTTTATCATAGACATCATGGTACCAATAGGTAAGCAGAGTGAGCAGGGTGAGGAATGAGCACAGTGTGTGCTGATGATGCCTGCAGTCTTGACTCTGCCTTGTGAGTGTCCCCGAGAAGCTTGGTAACACAGTAGTCTGTGATTGTGATGTTTTTTTTTTTTTTTTTCTTCCAAATGACTCTTTTTTGTGATTTCGGTAAAGGTTTACAGAGCAAATTAGTCATCCATTCAACAATTCATATGTATTTTATTTTGTGACATTTGATTGCAATCCCCACAGTATAACAGCCCTCTTCCCACGTCCTCCCTGGGTTCCCGTTTCCATTCGTCTTTCTTTCCTGCCCCTTCCTGCTATCTGAGCTTTATCCCTGGGCAGATGCTGCCCTTTTCATCTCATGCATCCCTGTGATTGGTATCTAGGAGGAATATAGGACATTTGAGAAAGTTTTAAGGAGATATTTTTAGAGATGATTAAAACTTGGGAGGAGAAACCTTATGTAGTAAAGAAATTGAAAGGGCTGCTCAATTGTAAACATTGAAATGATCCCAGATTTCCATACTGTGTTTTATTTCCAAAGTACTTTTGTTTGTGTTTTAAGTAGAAGAAAAAAAAAACTCACTGCCATTGAGTCAATTCCGACTCATAGCGACCCCTCCTTGGGTTTCCAAGGCACAGTATCACTACAGAAGTAGATTGCCCCATCTTCCTTCCAAGGAGTGGCTGGTGGGTTTGAACCGCCAGCCTTCTCATTAGCAGTCAAATGCCTTAGTGTCTACACCACCAGAGCTCCTTTTAAGTAGAAAGAAAATGAAAATACTGTATATTTGAAAATTTATATTACAAATATAATGAACTTAAAATTATAGTCATTGTGTTCATTGTGTTAGCACGTTTAGGTAGTCCTTGAAGGGAATTGGGCCAATTGTTTTATTTCAAAATGAGATTGTGAATGGATAAATAATACCATGATTTTGGAACTTTTTTTTCTGAATGTATTAGAAATTCACCCATTTATCTTTATATTTTGTTTAGTGTAATTTCTTGACTAAAAACATAGTCACATGTTTCACACACATGCAGAGGAAAGGCCCCAAGGGAAGAGCATGGGTGGAACAGACAGCTGAAGGGGGAGAGGTGGGAGCTGTGTTCAGAGAAGTAACTGGGCCCAGACTAAGAGAAAAACAAACAAAAAGCCCAGTTGCTGTTGGGTCCTCCTGACTCATGGCAACCCAGTGTGTGTCAGAGAAGAACTGTGCTCCGTGTGGTTTTCAGTGGCTGATTTTTTGATGTGGATCATCACCAGGCCTTTCTTCGAGGCCCCTACGGGTGGACTCGGGCCTGTGACCTTTTCTGTTAGCACCACCAAGACACTGCATGTCCAGACCATGTAGGCTGCGGTGACAATTTTGGTTTTTACTTTTTGATGAGACGCTTAGGGGGATTGGAGCAAAGGATTGACATGATAAGACTGATCACTGAGGTAAATGTAGAGATAAGGCCAGAGGTGAGCAAGGGTGGGTGCAGGAGCAGTTAGGAGGCAGTTGTAATCGAGGGGAGAAGTGATGTTGGCTTGGTGGATGGTAGCAGTGATGGCGATGCAAGATGGCTAGACCCTCGATATGCTTTGAAAGGAGAGCTAACAGGATTGGTCGATAAATTGCCCATTGTGGCGTGACAAAGAAGAGTTTAGTGTCCCAGAAACACATGCACAGGGGTGTTTGCTCTAGCACTGTTTGTGGTAGTAAAAGCTGGAAGTGGCCTTTGTGTCCATGGACAGTAGATTGGATGAACTGTAGTATATGTATAGTGAAATATTATACATCCGTAGTAGCGAGTAAACCTCATGAACATAGTGTTGAGCAAATAAAGCAAGCTAAACGAATATATACAGTGTAATTCCTTTTATGTAAAAAGAAAAAAAGTCAAACACTGTTCAAACTACACAGTGAATTGTTCAGTGGCAAAATGGGGAAGACAAGCCAGGGAGTGATGTCCCAGGTGGAGGGTGGATATTTTGAAAGGTGTTTCAGAGGTGCTGGTGGGTGCATGGTTCTTTTGTAAATTTTTCTCCTTTAACCATACATATACATTATATACTGTCATCTCTAATGATAAACACATGAGTGTAGAGATATGCCAGGGCCAAAGGCATGGGCAGCCTTATCCTCTGGAGTGAAATGGAGAGGTCGGCCTTCACAGTCCATAGGCAGTTGACTCTTCAATATGATTGAGTAGGAGCGAGTATTGCATAGTAAACACTGGCACCAGCTGCTTAGAGAAGTCGTTTTATATTAAGAAAAGCTTTTGAGGAGAGTCTTTTTTTTTTTTTTAAAGGTTCACTTTTCCTATTTCAAGAAAAAAGCAGTTAAAATTCTGTTTCTGGATAGTTGCAGTTTGGTCTTTAAATCTTCATCAGCTTACCAACTCTTAGGGCTGATTTACATTTGTAATTATGTATGTGATATATTTCTCTTTTTTTAAACTGTGGTAGTCTAGCCCTTTTACTATTTTTGTTTGTTTCTTATTTGAAGGTTAATCTATTTTAAATTTGTATGTTTTTCATTCAGAGTACATTAATACTTAATTCTTTACCTTTAGAAAGTGGTTAAGGATATCAGGGAAAAGGAAATCATATTATTCAAATGGAAACACTATAGTGAACCATTTAACCATAATGTTTATTACATGTCATTGTGGGGTTACTAACTTGACAAAACTCCACATTTGAATAGGCTTGTGAGGAACCACAGTGGCACAGTGTTAAAGTGCTTGGTCATAGGTTTGAATCTGCCAGCAGCCCTTCGGGAAAAAAATGAGGCAGGCTGCTTCCATAAAGATTTATAATTTTGGATCCTCTGTTGGGCAGTTTGGGAGCTCTGGTAGCACAGTGCCTAAGGCATTTGACTGCTAACCAGAAGGCTGGCAGTTCAAACCCACCAACCACTCTTGGGAAGGAAGATTGGGCAATCTACTTCCGTAGTGATAACGCCTCAGAAACCCAAGGAGGGGTTGCTGTGAGTTGGATCTGATTTGACAGTAGTGCGTTTGTTTGTTTATGGGGCAGTTTTACTCTGTCAAGTAGGGTCCCTGTGAGTCAGAATCCACTTAATGGGAGTGGGTTTGGTTTTGGTTTTAAAGGCTAGTGAGTATCCAGAAAGATTTGCAAATTTTTTAAAAAAATTTTTATTGTGATTTGGGTGAAAGTTTACAGAGCAAATTCACTTTCCATACAGCAGTTCACATACACTTTGTCTCATGACATTGACTGCAGTTTCCCACAATGCAACATCTCCCCTCCCACTTCCTGCTCATAGTTACCTCTTCCCTGTGTCCATCCCTCCCAGGCACTCCTGCCCCCTGAGTTGTCCCCTGTGCGTACACTGCCCTTCTGTTCTCCCATGATTGAGATTTGCATATTTTTAGCCCTTTTTTTTCTCTTAAAAATGGAGTCATTCTCACTGGGTAAATAATTTATATTGAATATGGAAATACATATGATTTCTTTATGTTACATTTTTCTTAATGTGTTAAGTTATTACTATGCACTCGTGTTCTATCAATGGAAAATACTTTGATTGGATTCTCATCTCAAGAAGGAGTTGTTTCAGAGCTGGTGTGCGCTATTATGTGAGAGGTGAGATTAATTTTCTCAGCATGATTAAATACTGTGTCAGATCTATCACTAATTAACATCTTGTCTTAAGGTGGCATTTATTTTCATTATCATTTGATAGACTCACTAAATATATATCTTCCGCTTCATTGTAATAATTAGGTCTTCCGTGCTTTGAGAGGTGCCGTGGTGGTGAAGCGATTAATGTGCTCGGCTGCTAACTTTTAAAGGTCAGCAGTTAGAACTCACCAGACACTTGGTGGGAGAAAGATGTCTCGCAGTCAGCTACCTTAACGAGTACGGCCTTGGAAACCCTATGGGGCAGTTCTGCTCTATCCTGTAGGGTTGTTAAGAGGTAGAATCAACTAACAGGAATGGGTTTAGTTTTTGTTTCCTTTCTGCTCTTTACTCCAGATACTGTAATTACATTGCAAGTGGTCATGTGACACTATAGGCTGCTGCTTCCTGCTAAGAGAGGAACTGATCACCATTGTTTGCTGAATGTCTGAAAGCACAGATTTTTTTTTTTTCAATTATTTTTTGTTTTTGTGGTTGAGAGTATACACAGCAAAACATAAACCTGAGAATCAACAGTTTCTACATGTACAATTCAGTGACCTTGATTACATTCTTCACGTTTTGTGACCATTCTCACCCTCCTTTTTGGAGTTGTTCCTCCTCTAATTAACATATACTGCCCCTTAAGGTTCCTATCTAATCCTTTGAGTTGCTCTTGTCAGTTGAATCCCATTCAGATAGATCTTCAAAGAGCACAGTGCTCAAGGCAGACATTCTTTACTAGTGAAGCTGAAAGCTGAACTATGGTGTGGTTTTAAGAAGACTTCAGGGGTTATTTTTGGTTTAAGGTTTAAAGATTGTCTCAGGGCAATATTTGAAGCATGGCCTTTTGAAGTAATTGTTTTTCAGGAATAAGATTCCCAATATGAAACCTATGGTATTGCCTCTAGAGAAGTTTAATGACATGTTATATTTACACTTGTGAAATGATGCAATTAGCTGTTAGATCCTCTCCTTATAGACCACATGTAATTGAACAGAGAATAAACTCTGAACCAAATCTCCTAATCCTTACTTTAAACTCTCTAGCCAGGACAATTCAAGAATAGATGTAGAAAAGCTGAGGTAACTTTATCAGCATTCTGCTTGGGATACCCACAGAATTGTGTGTGTATTGAAGCACATTGTTCTGTCCAGTTCATGCTTTTTCCCTTGAAGTTAATTGGGCCAACCAAATGTTGAAATGTTCACCCAACAAATTGAGCTAGAATTGTAGACTCAGCCATAGGTATTGGTTTAAGGGGTTTTATTTTTAGCCAGGATGAAAATCGGGTAGGCTAAATAGGTAAGTAGCTAGATACAGAGGAGTCTTCCGTTTGATTTACGTTTAACTTCCTGTTGGAGGTTGGAGAATGCATTATGTTGGCTAGTAAATATTATTAACAACAGCAGCAACCAAATGCAGCACTGAGAAGGCCTGGAAGTCTAAGCACATATATTTCCTTGTTCAGATAATTCTTTGAACACGGTTGGTTTGTACATACTCAAAATGTCGCACATTTTAAAAATCAGTTTCTGAGCCAAGAAAGTTTATTAAATATCCTTAATGGTGAGAAAAGAAGAACACTGTTAAAAACAAACTTTTAGACTGACTACTTCTGCCTTTAAAGACTGAGTGGCACAGGATAGAACGTAAAAATCTTGTTCCACAACCTACTTTGGTGAGTAGTGACTGGGATCTTAAACGCTTTTGAATGGCCATCTAGGGTGCAACTATTGGTCTTCTCTCATCTGAAGCAAGGAAGAGTGAAGAAGATCAAAGCCAGTTGGAAACAGTCCAAGGATATGATGGACTTCAAGACTAGAAGAACTAGATGGTGCCCGGCTATCAATGCCAACCACTTGGGAAGGGATCAAAACCAGAGATCCTAAATAGAGTGGGAGGAAAATGTAGAACAAAATTCAAAAACACAAAAATGACCAGAAGTACTGGTCAGATGGAGCCTGGTGGAACCCCCAAGACTATGACCCTGGGTTACCCTTCAGGCCTAGAATTGAACTCACTCCCAAGGATTGGCTCTCGGCCCAATAGTAGACTCGACCTACATGCAGAACATCTACCCCGGGTGATGTACCCACCTCCTCTAGGGAGATATGCCCCTTAGAGCAGTCGGCCATGGGACACCAGAGGGCCATCATTCACATAGAGGGAAAGCTGGACAGATAGGCATGCTTAACTAAGAAGGGCACGGGGGGGAGGGGTCGCAGTGAAGGGAGGGGAGGAGAGTGGGTTATCGTTAGGGATGGTAATTGGGGTGTGGAATCAAATGCACGTGAACTGTTGAATATAAAACAAATTTTGCTCTGTAAATTTGCACCCAAAGTACAATTAAAAATAAAAATAAAAAAGATTACCCCAGAATTTAACCTGATTCAAAGAAAAATTAAACTTTCAATTTCAAAATATTTGGCAGACTTTTGTAGGCAACGAATGCAGGCTGGCCAGCATGATTGACTTGTTTTGTAAAGCATTCTAGTGAGTCTAGTCTCTTGGGCACCAGCAGGGGGAGAAATAGGGAGCTAATTTGATGTATAGAATAAAGAAGGGAGATTTTGAGATTCCTAGGACAGTCTGTGGAGAAAGAGCAGAGGAAGCATGGCATAGGCCAAGGCACTGGGGGGTAGAAATAGCCAAGTGAGAAGGTCCCAGAGGTGGGGCCAAATGAGGACGTTTTTTCTTTTTTTTTTTTTTTAAAGTCTGATGTTGCTTTTTAAGACATCTGCTGGGCCATATAGCAGTGTTCCTATACCTTCGAGTACCCACCCATAGTGGGTGATATCCTTTGTGCTGCAGGGAACCAGAGGTCAAAGGAATAATGACTACATTCAAGACAAGATTGCAAGCAGAGATTGTCATAGAAGGGTAGAAGAAGATAAAAATTCAACAAAAACAGGATTTTGGAGTAAAAGGAAACTAGGGAAAACATGCTTCTCCAAGAATCCCCAGAAATATTGGGGAACATGGAGGATGCTGGTTTTCCCATCTTATGTGGGATGGAGTCTCCAAATACTTTAAGTATTGAGGAACCAGTGCCCCCATAAAGCAAAAAGATGTGCCAGCACCTAGGTGACCTTGAGTCATACTGGTATCTTTCAAACATTCAGCCAGGCATTTTCTCAAGGGGTGGATTTTTGGAGGGGAGGGATTTAGGTAAAAGTTTACATAGCAAATTGGTTTTCCATTCAGTAATGTAGTTTTAATAACCCAAATTTAATATCAGAAAGTATTGTGTGCATTAAGCTAGACATTCGATGTTACAAATACTTACATTTTGAACGTTTATTCTATAAGTTTTGTGCTATTAATATGCTTATTCATGCCAAGCTTTTAAAATCTGTTATTAAGTAACTTTCATAATAAAAAGGAGTTTCTCCAACCCTTTTTATTTTTACTTTTAACCAGAACATACCAGAATAAAACCCTATGTGCTATTAAATAAATCTTATGAATTTTGAGCTAGGAAATTGGAGAGGTCATTTGGTTAATCACCCTCATTACAGATAATATAGCAGGGGAAGAAAGACATTGAGTGAGTGACCTGGCCAACATCAAAGAACCAGAATTAGAGTTAGCAGCTCCTTGGTAACTAGATTTTCTTGGATGGAAACATATTTCTAAATTTAATTTTTACTGAATAACATAGTCACATAGTTTAAATATCAAAAAGTTTTAAAAGACCTGCAATCAAAAAATCTTTCCCATTCTTTACCCTATGCATTCCGTTCTCACCCCTACTGCTAGTTAGTTGTTAGTTTTTCATTTATCCTTCCAGGTAATTTTCATGCTAATACATGCAAGTGTTCTTCTCCCGCTTGTCGTACACACCGTGATTGTATACTATATATTTTTCTGTACCTTGGTTTTTCACTTTTTTGACTTAATGTGTCTTCAAAATGTTTTCATAATCTCTTACTCTCTTTTAAATAACTGCATGTTGCTCCTTAATGGGAATTATGGAGGGAAACAAGCAAAGTCCATGTTTCTGACAAGTAATCTTAGAAAGCATTGAGAAATCATTTTATTTCTGATATCATAATAATTTTTTTTCTCTTCTGGTACTTCTAACCATAATGAACTAACAAAAACTCTGGCACCACATGGACACATCAAAATGTTATGCTTGAAAAATATGTGACAAAGGATGTTAAGAAATATTGGCACAGTAAAAACTCCATTGCTTTCTTTTTGATAATTGGGTAATTTGAGTCCAAGACTAGTTTGAAATTTACTTTTGCTTAGCAAGCAAGTTCTTTATTAGTAAAAATGGATCATATAGACAAAATTGTAAAAGACTACTTCACATACTTGAAAAGACTAACTCATACTAACATTTTAAACACTTCAGTGCTTTTAAACTAGGTTTCATGTGATTATAGAAGTTTTAGATGTAACAGGAATTTTAGAATGGTATTTTTCATATTTTCATTTTAATAGTTTAAATCAATCTAAGCATCTACTGGACCACTTATTTGCCTTATATTGAATACTATTTACACAGTGGCCCACGTTTGGATTTTGTGTGTTGTTACTAAGTATGATCACCTGAATAGAAAGTTTTAATTTTCAGAATAGTATTTTTCAAACTGGGATCCACAGACATACTCTCTGGGGTCCTTCACAATTTATTTTTGTTAAAAAGATTTCTCAAAGTTGAGAAACACTGTTTTATAGGAATTGTGTATGTATAAATAATTGATATATTAAATAGCACCCAACTTCATCTGTTTGTTAATTAGTCCTTGATATGCCTCTTTATGTCTGTTTAAATAAATGAGTGAACTTTTAGCTTTGTGATCATGCACTGTGCATTTGTTTGTAACTTACAAGTATTTTTCTAATTTGAACTGACTTAATTCTTTCCAAGTTAATCTAAATTAGTGAGGTTTTGATGTGTTTCCTGTGTAATAAATATAGATAACTCTTTTCCCCCCCAATTTAGGAATTGATTCTGAAGGCCATGCAGCTAACTTTGTAGAAACTGAACAAATTGTGCACTACAGTGGGAGCAGGGCTTCATTTGTGCAGGCAAGTTATTATATCTGGTAGGTAAAATTGGGTAGCTGGTCAGTTGGCCTTTTCTGCTTGGATCATAATTTTCTGTCACATTGTTGAAATGTCGACCCCCCTGCCCCCCGCTTCTTTGTTTTCTTTCTAAAGTAGCATCCTTATTTACAGCGTAGGGAAAAGTTTGCTCAGAATAAGGACATTCATTAATATGGCATGCCCCTGCTGGCATTTCTGCCCTTAAATCCCTAAAGGAGAGTGTCTGGGGTATAAGGGTTATGGAAACAGAGCCACCTATCTGCTTAACCCTCCTTCAGACTTATTCAGGGTGATGAAGGAGGGACAAGCTGCTGGCTTATGACTGACTTTACCTGTCTGACACTTCACGCTGAGATGGTACATCTTTTTAGTTGCTTGCTTCAGAGTTGTGGATCGCTTTCTGCTCCAGATCAGTAGTAGCTAAGCGTATTCGTGTGTTCATAAACTTACTCATTGGAGAACAAAGAAAGCAAATTTCTAAGTGTTTCAAAATGCCAAATTATCCAACAGATATAGCATGTTAATTTTTACTTGTGAAGAAAACAATTTATTACAGAATTCAGGAGAAACAGAGCTGTTTGCTACGCAAGCAGCATGTACATGAAATCAGAAAGCAAGAATATCCTTTCCAAACGTATTCCCAGAAAATAGGATCTTTAGGAGCATGTCTTTAGGAGCATGTACACACGTGGACTTCTTTCAGAGTTTCTATGGGGTGTGTTATTTTTTTTGCTTTGTGAAATCATTGATACATGTACCCTGACACTAAGTAAACTGAGAAAAACAAGTGTGTGTGTATGTGTGTGTGTGTGTTTCATTTCATGTTTCTTTCTTTCCTTTTAGACACGAGGATCAATACCAGTTTTCTGGTCCCAAAGACCAAACCTCAAGTATAAACCAGTACCACAGATCAACAAAGTAGCCAATCATGTGTGTATCTTCCATGCTTTTGTCCTTGGCTAAACATAGAAAATTAATGGCATTATAGTTTGCATATGGAAAACATAATTGGTTAGCCATATGTCAGAATTCAGCATCATTGAAGCATTTCTCCTTGGTTCTTGGTTCTTGATCCTCTCCACCAAAAGGTTGCATAAATGGCATGTGAGAAACGTGGAAGAACAAACAGGACTGAATGGTTCGGCATATTAGTCTTTAGAGATTGCAGTAACATTTGCAACTTTATGTTCTTTGGAGTACTTGGCATTTCTATTCAAGATTGTAGTCAGAGTTAAAATAGTAATATTGTAGCTCAGAGTACTATGACTTACAATTACTATTTACTACAAAGTATTTAGAAGACATGGTGCCTGTCCCAACCTTACTCCTTGAATATAGAGATAGGACGTGTAAGAAGATACTTTCAAAAATCCTGTAAGTATATCTTTTTTTTTTCCCTCCTAGTTGGATGGTTTCCAAAGACATTTTGATTCACAAGTAATTATTTATGGAAAGCAAGTTATACTCAATCTGGTATGTTTCTTAAAAACAAAACTATCAGAATTGCTTTTTCAATCATTTAGATAAACTTGAAAGAAAGCTACAGGTGTTTTTAATTTTTTGCAGGTTAACCAGAAGGGCTCAGAGAAGCCACTTGAACAGACATTTGCATCAATGGTGTCTTCCTTGGGAAGTGGAATGATCAGGTACCTCACTCGAAATCAGTTGCAGGTCCTTTCAGATCTTTTACCCTACACACATACACAAGTACCTAGATCTCACTAAACCAAACCAAACCAAACTCATTGCTGTCAAGTTGTTTCGATTTGACTCGACTCGTAGCACCCCTCCTTGGGTTTCTGAGGCAGTATCTCTAAGGAAATAGGTTGCCCAGTCTTCCAAGGAGTGGCTGGTGGGTTTGAACTGCCACCCTTCTGGTTAGCAGTCAAGTGCCTTAGGCACTATCTCACTCGTTCGTTCATCACCGTTATGTGCTGTCGAGTCAGACCCCACTCGTAGCGACCCCTCCTTGGGTTTCCGAGGCAGTATTACTACGGAACTAGATTGCCCTGTCTTCCTTCTGAGGAGCAGCTGGTGGGTTTGAACTGCCAGCCTTCTGGTTAGCAGTTAAGTGCCTTAGCCACTGTGCTACCAGAGCTCCCCTCAGTCTAAAGTCGTAATCCTTATTATCTCACTAGACATAATATATTTCAACTTACATTTTTTTTTTAAATTATGATTTGGTTGACTTGAAATTTTTTCTGGCATAATTTCATGTTGCAAAATAACTTAATATTTGCATTTGCATCTAAGTTTGGTAAAAAAAAAAGCCTATGAGTAAAATCTTCCTCATCTAGGTTTTTGGCACTGTGGCCCCACTGGATGACAAATTCCTACTCTTTGTGTGATGGGTGTGGTCCTGTGGTCCTGACTGCCACAGGAGCTGGAGCAGTTCAGGTGCTAATGTGGCTTCACCTAGAGCAGAGGCTTTGCCTCTCCTGTAAGTGGATCCTGGCAACAGATGCAAATTCTGTGTAGCCAATCAAAAGATGTCAGTTACCCTATGGGAAGGTGCAAGGTGGTTATGAGTCAGTCAATTTGCAGCTGTCTGCATCAAGAAACTGGGGTAGGAGGTGAGGGTGACGTTGTGGTAGGAAGTGATCACAGGCAGTAGAGGGAAAGCATCCTATCTTAGGAAATGGTATTGGGTTCTTTGGGGAGAAATTATTCTAACCTATGAAAAATTTCAAATATACCCCAAAATAGAATAATACAGTGAAACTTTGGGGAAAAATTTAAGTCTTTTGTGCCCAACTCTAGCAGTAGAGCTTCTCTCCATTCACACTTCCATCTTCTCACAGTGGAACCTGACCAAATGTACTTTGGCTGACTCAGAGAAGAAATTCCTAATCAAGTATACCTCAGAATCCTGTGAGGAACCTGGAATTTACCTTGGAGCTATAAAGGCAGACTCTGGGCTTGGAGCCCAGCATATGTACACTGGAAAAGTTCATCTGCTGGCTCCTGTGTACAACCCTAGTTAAGACTCTTTTTCCCAGAAGGTTTCCATAGGTATGCCTTGCCTCAGAATTGTCTTGAGAAATTTACAGTTTCTAATAGTAGCTAAAGGAGCTCTGGTGGTTCTGTGGTTAAAATGGTCGGCTTTTCAGCAAAAGGTCAGTGGTTTGAACGCACCAGCTGCTCTGTAGGAGAAAGGTGAGGTAGTTTGCTTTCTTAAAGATTTATAATCCTGGAAACCCTATCGGGCAGTTCTTTTTGTTTTTTAAGGTGGTTATGAGTTGGAATCTACTCGATGTCAGTGAGTAAGGGTTGTTTTTTTTTTTTTTTTTTTTCCGGTGTAGTAGCTAACTGGGAACTTGAGGCCTAAGTCATAGAGTCCCAAGGCTGTGCACTCAGCGTTTTGAGGAACTTAAAGGGTATCTGCTGCTAAAGACTGAGAACTCCAGAGCTGTTTTTTGTTTTCTTTCTACGGGCTCTGAAGCCCACCAGACTAAGAACATTGAAAAAACATGCATTTGAATATTTTTTACTTAATAAATACCTAATGTGACAGGAGAAGACATCAGTCTGTTGGTTTAAGTCTGAAATCAAATGGTAAATTTATTGTAGACTGTAAGATGGTTATTGGACGGAGTAATTTTTTAGTTTTGTTTAACCAGTTACTATAGTAACTTGAGTTGCTGGATTGGTGAAAGAGAAAAGTTACATTGTTGTACTGCTGAGTGGTGGGGAGCATTAGCAATGGAAAGTTACTATTTTGGTAATTGGGTGAAAAAGTGCCATGTAGAAGGTGATGTCTGTAAAAGATTTTTTCCGCAGAAATGTGGAAGGAGGTAGGAGTGCTTAACTGTTGGGTTCGGAAATGAAATAATACATTTAAAATCATTTGTTATCAAACTATAGTGTAGCTCATTCTTGGAAGATACAAATGTAAGTTTATAACAAGGATATAGGCTTAAGAATTGAAGTGTAGTTGGAGGCTAGTGAGCTGCTTAAATTCTTTGAATGAATCTTGAGCTGTCCCTTCTGGTTGGAGCACTCTAAAAATAACTGTCCTCCTGCTGCTTTTATTGGCGGTGCTCTTGAAAATGCCTGCCCCACCCCTATTCTTCCCAAGTGGTCAGCCTTCCAGTTGGCTGACCTCTATTTCTGTAGTATAAGGGTATCATTCTCACCTGAGAATTAGCCATGGAGGTGGTAGGAGCCGTCTCTCCATCTGCTCAGAAGCCCACAAGCTAATTGATACCTCTTCTGTCTTTTGGAGCCAAGAGACTCACAGGAGACCAGGCACCTCATCTAAATCTTTACTGTGTATATGAGAGCATAACAATCCTATTTTATGACTTGATCCCTGACCAAGGTGTTGAGTAGAAGATGTGGGAATTTTCATACATCCATGGTGCTCAGGTTGTCTACATTTGTCCTTCTTCCCTTGACTTTCACAATGCAGTTAATGACTTTTTTTCTTTCTTCAAGGGACAGCTTTATTTACCTCATGGTGTAGGACACCTTCACTGTCAGATATCTTCTTTTAGAATCCTGTCTGTTAAATGTTGTTAGCTGCTGTTTATTTGGCCCTTGACACATGCTAGTCCCATGCACAATGAAACCCAACACTGCCTGGTCCTGTGCTGTCCCCGTGATTGGTTCTACATTGAACTCTTGAATCCATAGGGTTTTCATGGTTTGTTTCTGGCAGTAGGTCCCCAGGCCTTTCTTCCTAGTCCATCTTAGTCTGCAAGCTCTGCTGAAACCTGTCCAACGTCACAACACACACGCCTCCAATGATGGACAGGTGGTCGTTGTACGTGAGGTACAGTGACCAGGAATCAAACTCGGGTCTCCCACGTTAGATACCTTTAAACAGCTTGTTACAAATTGACATGAAAATTATGTCTATTGCATATATATGATGTTTAGATACTGGTATAAGAAAGTGTCTTTTTTGTTAGGCTGGCTAGTCACGAATCAGAGTGGGAGTATTCTGCCTCTGCTTCTCATAGCCCCTAGTATGCGACAGACACTCAGACTAATTCTCCTTGTATGGAATTGCTTCATCATTTTAATTGATTTGAACAAAACAAAAAGGAACCCTATTGTTTTCACATAAGTGGTAGAAAATAAGAGGACCTTTTGTGCTGCAGTGGTTAAAGCGCTCGACTGCTAACAGGATAGTTGGCAGTTTGAACCTACCAGCTGCTCCACGAGAAGATGATGAGGCAGTCTGCTTCTGTAAAGATTTACAGCCTTGGAAACCTTATGGGGCAGTTCTACTCTGTCCTATAGAGTCGCTATGAGTTGGAATCAACTTGTTGGCAGTGGCAGTGGTGTTTTTTTTTTTTTTTTTTTTTTTGGTTTGGTGGAAAATAAATGCATGACAGGTATTCAGGTGAGGCCTTTCTACAGTATGTACCTAATCACTTTACCTGAACCCACCTCTTTAACATTTTGCTGGGCTTGTCCCCCTTTCTGTTTGCCAACATGTAACAGAAAGGAGGTGTATGTGTGTCTTTATATATGTGTGAGAATGTATGCATATATGTTTATTTCTCCCATAGATATGAGAATGAGGAAGTTTTTGTATATGTAGTGGTAAACCCAGAGTGGGGAGACACCACTATTCTCAGGAAATATGTACCCTGTGGTGTCAGGAGAATCGGCTTATGAAGGTGTTATTGATAGAAGGGAAAGGAATAATCTTGGGTCAGTTTCTTAATATTTTTTCTTTTGATAGATACATTGCCTTTGACTTCCATAAGGAATGTAAAAATATGAGATGGGACCGGCTAAGTATTTTATTGGATAAGGTAACAGAAATGCAAGATGAATTAAGGTAAGCTGTATTATTTACCTATGGAGGTAGGGGCAAGAGGTGTGTGTTTATATCGATTATATTTATTATGCATCATCTAGCAGACTTACAAATATCATTCACTGAGTAGACAAGGGCTTGTCTGTAAAATATATATATGTATAATAGCCCAATTAAAAAAAATATATATAAAATATATATATTTAAAAACATATATATATATATCATAGCCCAATAATAATACACACACACACACATACACACTTTGGAAAGATGAGAGTTGATTTTAAATTCTTAAAAATTATCTAAGCCCGAGTATTTTCATGAATTACCTTCTACACATTTATGTATTTTTACATAATTGAAATCAGTTTACTACTGTTGTATGTTCAGTTCTTTTCACCAAACATTCTCTCACAGGCATTTTTTCATTAGCTTAAACAGTCTTTGTAATGATGGTGTTCAGTGGCTTTCCCTATTCTTTTGTGTCAGACAGTTTTAGTTAAATGCTCTCTCTCATATTGAGAGACCATCTGGTTTGTTTCCTACCATGAAAGATAGTGCTGGAGTGAATCACACTGGGTATATGTCTTTTGCTTCTGTTAAATAACTTTCCTAAAATAAATTCTTGAGAGTAAGGTTAACGGATCAAAGGGTCTAAGTATCTTTATGGTACTTTCCATAAGTGTTTGCCATATTGTTTTCCAAAAGGTTGTACTGGTTCCCAAGTTTACTGTGCTCTTGGTATATCTAGTCTTTGACTTATTTAAAGCCAGAAGAAGGGCTTTCTTAAAATGTTCTATCATGTTGCTCTGCCTCTGTGATAGTTTTTTTTTTTTTTT